CCCTTTTTCCAGACAGGCCCTTCTAGTCGTCTAGGGGGGAGTGGGTGGGATTTGCTTTGACGTCTAGGGGGAAGAGTGGGTTTGTTTTGACGTCTAGGGGGGAAGAGGGGATTTGCTTTTGACGCCAGGAGTGGAGTGGTGGGGGTTTGTTTTGGCGCCAGGGGTGGAGTGGTGGGGGTTTGTTTTGACGCTCCGTGGCTGCCCATATACTACTATTTATATTAGAGTACAAATTTAAAAAATATTACTATTTATTTTAATAACTTTTGATCCAGATGGTCAATTGTTTCTATTTTTTTTGTATTATTATTAAATGCAATTTAGAATAGTCTGTAATTTTTTCAAGTAATTCTTAACATATTGCATTTGCCGTATAACCTCCTTAAAATCGGAAGTGAGGTAATAGTTCTAAACAAATATCGACTAAAATACGTGTACATTGCGCTGCATTAAATCGGTACGACAGATTTTGATGAAATTAGGCTCATTCGATGCGTTTTTAGACGAAATGGACAAATCTGGCAAAAAAAGTGACGCTCTGCCCTGTAGACCGAAATATTAATCGTTAAAATTAACTATTCAGGTTAGGAAATCTGTTACATCGATGGCATAAAGACATGAAAACTTGTAAGTGAGGCTAGAATAAATATGTTCTGCTTTAATTTCATCAAAATCGGTGAGGAAGATAGAATTCTTGAATATTATCCTTACTTTTATATGTTATTTTATTTTATGAAGAAAAAGAGCATAAAATCACAGCACAGGTTGTTAAATGTGGTATTTAATATATTCAAATTTAAAACAATATAAGTTAGAAACGTGGTACGAATATAAAACAATATAATTAAAAAGGCATAAAACCACGAACGCCTGATATAGATGGCTTAAGAATGTTATATTTGATATAATACAATAAATAAACGTTTCGGTCTTGAATCAGACCTTCTTCAGTATTACATTAATAATTTAAGTTTTAAAATTAGAGTCTTGCGCATATAAATAATTTAAGATGTTACAAATATCCGTTAATATGTTACTAGCAGATGTTTTATTCCAGTTCAGTGATAGATGTGATTTTTTTCCATTTAAACGCAGTGTTCCATACGAGCCAGATTGTCTACCAGATCTTGATATGTGAACCACAATCAATAGGTAAGCAAAATTTTTCTCAATGTCTGTCCACACAAAAGTTCCAATTTCTATTAGACAATATGTACAATTGTAATTCAATTAATAACATACGATGTGTAAAAAACAAGATAGTTATCTTATAACAATATTAGGAATACTTAATCGGATTCAATTTAATACATTATAATTAAATAGTATAGTTTAACAAATATCAAAAGATTAAAATGATCCTAATAATTTATTATAGAACATTCATTTATAGAATACCTGTGTCGAATATGAGATGAACTACAATCAAGAACGTGGACAAACCATGTGATAATGATAAATGCTAAAAACGTTATATTAATTTCTGTACAAGTTTGCTAGTTTATATACATTTACTGAGTCAACGATAGAAAGTTCTGGAATCATGTAGAAGACGATATGTTTAATAACGCTAAATATGATTCGGGTAACTTTTCAGTGTCGTTTTGTTTATTAATTCCTTTTATTTGTTTTTTAATATATATCATTTCTGATGTGAATCTTTTTTGGAAGAAAGGTTCTGTGTCCAAAATTTCAATGTTATCCCAATTGAATTTGTGATCAGAATTAATTTGATGCTGTGCTACTACGTTATGCACTGTGTTAGAATTGGAAGTGCTAGATTTATGTTTTTTCATTCTCGTTTTTATTTTTCTTTTAGTTTGTCCGACGTATGAGGATTCACAATTCAGGCAATTAATTTTATAAACTACGTTACATTGTTCCATTTTATCAAGTTTGTCTTTACCTGTTTTAATTATCAAATTTAAATTATTCATTGGTTTATATGCGATTTTAAAATTATTCTTTTCAGCAATTGATTTAAACTTTTCTAAGATATTTTTTATGTATGGCACCGTAAAATATTTATTTATTGAGTTATCATTGTCTGAATTCTGAGAATTATTATTATATACATTCTTTCTTCTAGCTACACATTTGATTCTTTTGTTAATAGTATTAAAAATTAAGTCTAAAGGGTAGCCGTTGTCAAGTAAAGTATCAATCATCATTTCTATGTTCTTGTTGTGAAATTCTGGATGTGCGAAAAAGAGAATTCTATCCAGTAGGCCGATAATAACACCTTTTTTATGTTCTAGCGGATGATTTGAATGAAAACTAAGGTAGCGTTCAGAGTTCGGTTTTTTGTAATTGTTAAATCTAATCTGTCCCTCCTCAACACTCACAGTAACATCAAGAAAATTTATCGAACCCTCATAATTCCGATCACAAGTAAATGTAATCCTGTCATGAAAAGAGTTAAATGTATCTAATGTCTCGTTGATTTGATTGTTTGGAATTGCAAGACTAATGTCATCCACATATCTATAATATAGTGGAATGTCAAACTTTAATTTAGAAATCACATCATTTTCCAGGTCCTGTACTACAATATGGGTGGCACCCAGTTGGACACGGCTCAATTGGACACGAGCCAATCACAGCGCTTGAGACTACAAAGCTCCTAAGCACCGGTCGCTGTGATTGGTGGTGTCCAATCGAGACGTGGTCAATCGGGATCACCCCAACCATATGCATCCAGTGGTCACTGAAGATTCAGGAGACGCTCCAGTCTATTACATGCCACATCATGCCGTGTATAAAGATTCAAGTTCCACCACAAGGCTTCGAGTTGTATTCGACGCATCATCTAGAACGGATACTGGTGTATCGCTTAACAACATCCTGATGGTAGGCCCGAATCTAGAAGCAGATTTGACTTCCATATTGATTAAATTCCGCTTGTGGCAATACGTACTTATAGCCGATGTGGAGAAGATGTATCGGCAAGTTCAGATTGAGAAGAGTCAACAAGGACTTCAGAGGATTCTCTGGCGAAACAACAGCCATGAGGAAGTGCAAACGTTTGAGCTGGCTACACTCACATACGGTACGGCTTCAGCTTCATTCTTCGCGGTGCGAGTGTTACAAGAAATAGCTAGATTGGAGCAGCACGAAATGCCAACAAGATCAGCTAGGATATTGTCCGACTTTTATGTGGACGACCTTTTGACAGGTGCAAATACTGTTCCAGATCTCATCATCATTCGCGATGAAACAAGAGCCATATTAAGCAAGGCGGGCTTTCATTTGCGCAAGTAGGCTTCCAATGAAGAAACCGTATTAGAAGGCATACCTGATGCCATTCAGCTTCAGAGCTCATTTTGGATGTCCGGGAAGATACGATCTTATCTGCGCTCGGATTGCAATGGAATGCGAAGAACGATGAATTTCAATTCGGCATAAACACGAACAAGCAATCCAAGATCTCAAAGAGGATTATGCTATCCATCATATCTCGCATTTTT